CCTATTCTTTAGCTCTAACTCTGCATCTTCTTTCCTAGGGACAGCCCTCTCTACCAAATGTGATGGAAACAGCCTTTTATTTTGAACAGGCTGGAATTGGCCTGAGCAAAGATGAATCCTATTACATATTCCTTGCCCTTAAAAACCTAATTAATCTTCAGCCAATTCAGACCTGTCGCTTCTGGGGCAAAATTTTGGGCCTGGAAATGAACTATATTATAGCTGAAGTACAGTTACAGGAAGGGGAAGAGGAGGAAGAAATAGGAGAGGAAGGAGAGGAAATTGTTGAGGAAGGAGAGAAAGAGATGGGTGAGGCTGAAGAAGATGAGCAGAAAGAACAAGAAGCTGAACCTCCAAAGTCCACCTATAAACCGCCACCTGAGATCCCAAAAGAAGCAAATGGGACTGGGACTAATAAATATGTCTATTTTGTCTGTAATGAGCCAGGCACACCCTGGGTGAAGTTGCCTCCAGTGACACCAGCTCAGATTGTCTGTGCCAGGAAAATCAAGAAGTTCTTCACTGGTTGGCTGAATTCTCCTGTTGTGAGCTTTCCTCCTTTTCCTGGAAATGAGGCCAATTACCTGCGTGCACAGATAGCTCGAATCTCAGCAGGAACCCATGTCTCTCCCACTGGATTTTACCAGTTTGAAAATGAGGATGAAGAAGATGATGAAGGGGCAGACACATATGAAGAAAACCCCGAGTTTGAGCCTCCTCCTGTGGCTGAAATGGTGGAGTCCCTTGCCACGTGGGCACACCATGTCAAGGGCATTCTAAAGCAGGTGTGTGCCAGCATAGCTCACATGGAGCTTGGATACCACTCACACTGCAGTGCTTATAGGGTTACAGAATGTCAATGACACTCCTCACCTGCACATGCAAACTCTTCACCAGAAATGGTATTGGATTGAAAGACTTTTATCTAGAAAATACATTTTATATTGTATATAATACCAAAATATCTTACACATAAAACGTGTATTTTATATGGTGCGTATAATATGTAAATATCGTGCATGTATATGTTTTACATATACTTTCTATTTTTATATGTGTGTATATATATATATTTAAGAATTCTCTAAGTTTAGTACTTTTTCCAGTGATGCATTCTTGAGAATGAAACCTGTCTTTAAATAACAGTACGGAGCTACACCCCGATAGAAAACAATCATTTATTGCAATCTTTTGTATTAGGTTTTCTGCTTTGAGATCCTTATTTGACAAAAATGTAAAAAATTCTCTTTTTTGGGGTAGGATACTAAAAAGCAGAGAGCTTAGGTTTGTATGCTAAATGGAACTTACTTGGCATTTTCTTCTGGTTAATTTTTTGTTTTATACTTTCTGCTGTGAAGCATTCAAATGAAAAAAAATTTAAAACATGTTCTATCAGACTAGTGCTAGAAAGAGGTATTACTAATTTGGTTTTCATTCCTAGATGGTTTGATGGCCAGTCTACCAATTCAAAAACGCTAGTGTAAAATAACAGCAAATGCTAGGAATTAAGGTTTAAACTTACTACAAGCAAAATAATAGTTGTAAAAAATAAAATTTATATGCATTGGAATCTTAAGAACATTCTGTTATGATCCTCTGACTGGTAGCCAAATAACAAGGCAGATTTTAAAAAGAAGGGCTAAGTCCATAGTTTGCAGTAACTGTAAACTAGCAAGGACTGGCCAGGAACTAAAGACTAGAAAATGACAAGAGCTGATGACAGAGGTATGGGGTTATTTTCAAACAGCAAGCAGGAATGAATGAGGGGAACATTCTGCCAAGAGAATAAAATATTCTGTTAACAATATACCAGTTACGGAATATGTATTTTTCTTCTCCCCATCCCTTAACTGTATGTATGTGTCTGAGTCAATTATTTTCACTAGTTTTAACTTGCATTCTATCAATGATTGTTACATGTATTTATTATTTTTCCACATCAATTATAGGGTCGCTGCGTTTGGATTAATCCTTCTCAAAAATCAGAGGAAAATGAAGAAGAAGAGGAGGAAGAGGAGGAGGGAGAAGAGCAACAGGAAGAAAGAGGACCACCCCTTCTTACTCTAATCTCTGAAGATGAAGGTATTCTTCATGGAATATGAAGTTTTTGATAGTCACTAAGAATGTTGTCATTTAGCAGTAAATATTTGAAGTTACAGATCTCTGACACTTCTTGGAGCAATATACTTTGCCTCTGTAGGGTAAACACATTCTTTTACAAAATCAATCAAAAGCAAAATGATTAATAATATTGACATTAAAACTGAAATAATCAGGTTTACTAGGTAACCATCTTGTTGAGATTAAAAGGAAAAATAACTTTGACTCGTTATTGTAAGTTTAGAACAGCTCACTACATGAAATATATTCAAATCTTTTTATCTCATCTTTTTAGGAAAAAAGAAAAGTGTGTGTGTATGTGTAAATACAATAATTAATATGTACACACATGCACTGATATACATTATTTGTATAAGAATTTAGATCTTTTAGCATATCACTGCAGCAAGTCATGGAAATAAGAGTGCCTGAATATTAGATTACATTCATATTTGATTATTTTCCTACACTCCATTTTTTAATCAAGGTGAAATATGGCTATACAATTCATCCATAAGTGATAAAAAGTCCTTGACAAAAGAACCAGGGGTGAGTGCTACAGAATTTTTTCTGTGGGTCTATTAGCATTCCTGTGCTACCTACCCATACATGTAAACCACCTGTTTGAAAAGGCCTACACTTACTGTTTCTGACTTCTGGCTCTTCTGAAGTGCAACTTAGTATAAACCTTGCTTGAATTCTGTGCAAGTCTTGTAGCTCAGTCTTAAATATTTTGTAGAGGCTCGTCAAATCCGTTTATTCATAGACAGTGTTTGGCTGTCTCCAGGCATGAAAGACATCCCTGCTTGGACAGCTCAGGCTTCTACAGACCTGATCCCACAATATTCTGTTGCAATCCTACAGTCTAACCGATGGCCTGGAGCTTATGCCTTTGCATCTGGCAGGTGAGAGTCTACTTGACATGGTTACAACACTGACTGTATGTGGTACACACAAGTCCCTCTTCAATGCAGGCAGAGTTACTTTATTATTAATTCATTGACTGAATTCTAACTATTCCAGAGACTGATGGAGAAGGCCACTGAAATGTGCACAGTAACAGTGAATATGTATTTAAGACTGAAAAAGAATAATCATTGGAAAGGCTGGCATTAAGTTAATGGATCTAAATGCCAAGCTAGTATTTGAGCACAGTCCTTGATTTAACACATATTCTTGTGTCTGTGGGACTTTTTCCAAAACAACTACCTTCTGTGATTCTAATGTAGTAATAACTACATGTGGTTATTATGTCTGTGTATATTTCCACTACACAGTCATTCCACTACACTGTACTGCAATGCAGTGCAGTGACACTTCATCATTTTAAATGGAAGATGTATTAATAATCATTAGAGCAGTTAAAAAAGAGGAGCCATGTTTAAAATTCTTCTGTTATAGGATATCTGCACCACAACGACTTCTTCTGCAGAAGTAAAAATTCCTGACAGTGTCTCTGCTAATATTTCGTCAGGGGATGAATGTGTGATCTTTCACTTCTCTTTCTCAGGAAATTTGAGAACATCTACTTTGGCTGGGGTCACAAATACAGTCCAGAAAGCCACACTCCTGCACTGCCCCCGCCAGCACAAGCAGAATTCCCCAGTGGACCAGGAATCACTGAGACAATAGACCCCACTGTGGAAGAGGAAATGGCTTTCAAGGCTGCACAGGAAGAAGCCTTAGCCGAAGATGAAGAAGGAGAAGATGAGGAAGAGGAGGATGATTAAAATATGGAAGAAAACAGATTGTTTTAAAAGTTTGAACATAAACAGCATTTTCATAGTCATTTATTTGCTGACCTCAAAAGAAATGCATTTAGAGTGTGCCTTCTTTTTTGATTTCTGTAGGCTTTTCTTTGCAGCTGTCTTCCTCTCTTCACCCCTCACACCTACCCGCACTGGCATGAAGGCTTTTTCTGTTTGTTTGACTAAGCAAACATAGTCTGCTTCCTAAAATTATACTGCTTTGAACTAAGAACTACCACCCACCAGATGTTCACACTGTTTTTCTAGCCCTCACTTCAATACATATATACATTTTACTTAAATAAATTTTTTTTAATCCCATGACCGTGTCACTTTTATGTGTAAAAGCGTACTATCCAGATTCAGTAGGCAGCTTACTGAGGTACGGGCTGAGTGCACTGCAGTGATAACTGCTGCGCCTCCAATCATGTGCTCCGTTCTGGGCCGCTCACTGCAAGAGACTTGGAGATGCTCGGGCGCATCCAGAGAAGGGCAATGGGGCTGGGGAAGGGTCTGGAGCACAAGTCCTGTGAGGAGCAGCTGAGGAAGCTGGGGGTGTTTACCCTGGAGAAAAGGAGGCTCAGGGGAGACCTTATCGCTTCTACAACTGCCTGACAGGAGGGGGCAGCCAGGTGGGGGTCGGCCTCTTCTACTCAGTTACAAGCGACATGGCAAGAGGAAGCAGCCTCAAAAAAATAAATAAAAATGAACAAAAAATAATTTAAAAAATTAATTAAAAAAATAAAAATAATGGAAAGAGTTGTCAGCCATGGAACGGCTGCCCAGGGAAATGGTGGATTCACCATCCCTGGGGTGTTTAAAAGACCTGCAGATGCGGATGTGAGGACACCGTTGAATTTTCGGACCGGTGCCATATGGGCGCTGCCGGCAGGCGTGGGGGGAGGAAGGTGTCGCGGGAGAGTCCAGGGCTGCTCAGCCGTCTGCTCCTGACCGTGCTTCCCTCACCCGCCCCCCCACACCTCCCCGCCAGCTTGTGCGAGTGGTGCGCTCCACGCACGGCGTGCGTCCCTCTTGGGCCAATAGGGAGCGGCTGCGAGCGCAGTTCAAACTGCGGCGGCGGTTGGGGAGGCGCTCCCGACGCTCCCCGGTTCCGTCCCTTGTCTCTATTCCGCTCCTCCTGTGCCGGGCGGGCATGGCGGACGAGGGCGCCGTCACGGTGTGCGTGCGTGTGCGGCCGCTCATCGCTAGGTGAGCCTCCGGGCTGGCGGCAGGGGGAGACTCCCTCCGCACCCTTGTGTGCCGTCGTGCCCCCGCGCCTGGGGCGGGGAGGTGATGAAGGGATCCGGAGTGAGGGGCTGGCGAGAGTCGGGGAAAGGGGGCTGTGGTAAGGGGCCCGCGTTTTGGGAGCAGAGTCCTTGCCCAATAAAGGTAACAGAGTGTCTCTTCTTTTAGGGAAAATGCCTCAGGAGATAAAGTGTCCCTGCACTGGAGAAGTGAGAATAATACTGTTTCCGACGTGAATGGTACCAAAATATTTAGTTACGGTAAGAATGTGAAAGCAGTTGCTTTGCTTAGATGCGTACGTGGAACTTTGCTACTGTACTCTTGAACGTGTCGTCTGGTGAACGCTCTGAGTTTCTTGAAATGTCCCCCAAACTTCCCAGCTTCGTAATTCCGAAGGAGTGTCATTTGGACACCTAGGATTTCTGGTGTAGGCAGTACTGGGATGTGCTTTTGAGGTCAGCTTCCTGATGGATGTTGCTTTCTCTGTTCTAGTTCATGCCGTAGTGGCTTTGGAACACATATTTTTGATCTGAAATCTAGCTACAAATGGACTAAACAAGAGCTAGTCGAGATCATTTAGGGAGAAGGGTATGGGAGAACACAATCCCAAAAGTCACTAGTGTGAATGTTGGATCCTCGTTACTAACTGGCTCCCTTTGAGTCTTTTCCTACTGATTAACTCTTCTTGTTAATATGAACGTAGCCGCTGCAAATATTTTTCCCAAAATACAAATTCAGTAAAAGAAATAAAAATTTCTCTGCCTTAGCTAGCCAGAAACTAAGAGCAAAAGAGAGTTCTCTCCTGCTGTCAACTGCAGACAACACAGTTTTGTGTGAAGGATGTGGGGGGAGCAAGTACAGTCTCTGATAACTTACTCTGCACCTCTTCTCTCCCCCTTCACTCCTGAAACCAATCATAAAGCTGCAGAACTCAATGTCCAACACAAACAGAATAGACGACTGGGGATACAAGCATCATAAAGTCACCCCAGATCAATTAGCCAAAACTTTTTAGGCTTAAATGGGATGACCATTTAACTGTGTTCATAATTCTTAGGTTTTTTTTAACATGTCTATCTGTGCATTGTGTCTTTCTTGATTTTGTGCTTAACCTTTATTTTAAAACAAAATTTTAAAAGCATCAGTGGTGTTACAATATTTATATTTGAATTAACTTACAAACAATTATGCAAATTTACTGTATTTGAAATCAGCTATACTGAATGACAGCTTGTTTTGACTTGCAATAGAGTGGTGTCCTGGTTTAGGGCAAATTTGGGAGATAACTTCCAAAGGGCCCTCCCCCAGGAAGCAAACCTGAGCGGCCCCTCCCCCAGCTGGTTTGGGAAGGAAATTTCCTCAGAGAGAAGTGGAAAAAACCTGTTTATTCAACAGGCACAGCACTGCCCAGCACAAAAAAACCCGATACTGAATAACAAAACCTCTCAGTGCTCTGAAGAGATGACAAATTCAGAAAGTCTCTCTCCTGTGGGTGGTAGCTCGGCTCAGTCTGTTCTCAGTCCCTCCGGTGCTGGGAAATGCTGCTGCCCAGGCCAGGCCCCGGTGGCCACAGGTACGAGCTCCTGGTGCTCCCCTGGGTCTCCAATCCAGAACAGGTTCCAATAATTCCAGGAAAGAAAAGGGAAAAAAAAACTTTCTGGGGAACTTCTCTGCTTTAGTTAGTCAGAAACTAAGAAAAAGCAAAGGAGAGCTCTCCGCTGTCCACCACGGTGACACAGTCCAGGAGGACGAGAAGATGGAACTCCTATCTCTGTGTTTTGAAAACAACCTCCTCAGACATTCCACCACTTCTCCTCCCCCCTCCTTCACTCTCAAATCCAGCCTTAAAGGTACAAAACTTATTTCTGGGCTAAAGAGACAAATGGGGATACAATTCAACATGACAAAGTCACCCCAGGACATTCCACCCCTTATCCCCGTATTCTCGACTCATTACCAAAATATATATGTTCTAACTCTGCACACACATACCTTATGCATACACATATATATGGTATACAACTATGTACAGATAATAGCAGTAACACTCAGCAAACAGGGATATTTGCATATGGTTCTCACCCAACAATCATATCTCCCTGAGGTCCACATCATGTTGTTCTGTCTTTCTGCATTATCCACCATGTGCAACCTGGTCTCTGAGCAAAGACAACCCACGAATGGGTTTGTCTGTACTCGAAGCAGAATTGATCCATACTGTCTTCCCTAACAAACCTCTGGCATGCACCACTGGGACTTTTTCTCCATCTGCTGTATGCAGGGGCTCAGACTGGGCAGGGCCTGCTCAGTTGATGGAACCTCAGGTATTAACTAACCAGGTGGCCTTTGCTAAATGCTGCTCCCAGTTTTTGAAAGATCCCCCACCCAATGCTTTCAAGGTGGTTTTTAACAGTCCATTGTATCTCTCCACTTTCCCTGCAGCTGGTGCATGGTAGGGGATATTGTACACCATCTCAATGCCATGTTCCCTAGCCCAGGTGTTGATAAGGCTATTCTTGAAACGAGTTCCATTGTCAGACTCAATTCTCTCAGGGGTGCCATGCCTCCAAAGAACTTGTTTTTCCAGGCCCAGGATGGTGTTCTGGGCAGTGGCATGAGGCACAGGGTAGGTCTCCAGCCATCCAGTGGTGGCTTCCACCATGGTGAGCATGTAGCGCTTGCCTTGACGTGTTTGGGGCAGTGTGATGTAATCAATCTGCCAGGCCTCTCCATACTTATATTTGGACTATCGCCCCCCCATACCAGAGGGGCTTGACCTGCTTGGCCTGTTTGATGACAGCGCATGTCTCACAGTCATGGATAACTTGAGAAATACTGTCCATGGTTAGATCCACCCCTCGGGCTCGTGCCCACTTATAGGTGGCATCTCTGCCCTGATGACCTGAGACATCATGGGCCCATCGAGCCAGGAACAACTCTCCCTTGTGCTGCCAGTCTAAATCTATTTTTGACACCTCTATCTGTGCAGCCTGATCTACCTGCTTGTTGTTTTGGTGTTCCTCGTTAGCTCTACTCTTGGGGACATGGGCATCTACGTGACGGACTTTCACAGGTGATCTCCCTATCCTGGTAGCGATGTTTTTCCACTCTTCAGCAGCCCAGATTGGCTTCCCTCTATGCTGCCAGTTAGCTTCTTTCCACCTCTCCAGCCATCCCCACAGCGCATTAGCTACCATCCATGAATCAGTGTAAAGGTAGAGTTTTGGCTACTTCTCTCTTTCAGCAATGTCCAGGGCCAGTTGAACGGCTTTGAGTTCGGCAAGTTGGCTGGATCCACCCTCTCCTTCAGTGGCCTCTGCATCCTGTCTTGTGGGGCTCCATACGGCTGCTTTCCACTCCGGTTCATCCTCACGATGCGGCAAGAACCATCAGTGAAAAGAACGTAGCATGTTTCATCTGGCAGTTGGTTATACAGTGGGGCTTCTTCAGCATGTGTTACTTGCTCTTGTTCTTCTTCATCTGTGAGACCAAAATTTTCACCTTCAGGCCAGTTTGTAATTATCTCCAAAATCCCAGGGTGATTCAGTTTACCAATACAGGTGTGCTGCATTATAAGAGCAATCCACTTGCTCCATGTGCATAGTGGCTGGAGGGAACCTTTGTTTTGAACATCCAGCTCAGCACTGGTAGTCGGGGTGTCAGGAGGAGTTGTGCTTCTATACCAGTCACCTCCAAAGTGGCTTGGACTCCTTCGTAGGCTGCTAAAATTTCTTTCTCTGTTGGGGTATAGTTGGCTTCAGACCCTCTGTAGCTCCGACTCCAGAATCCCAGTGGTCAGCCTTGAGTCTCCCCAGGCACCTTCTGCCAACGGCTCCAGGGCAGACCATGGTTCCCGGCTGCAGAGTAGAGCACGTTCTTCACATCTGGTCCCGTCCTGACTGGGCCAAGGGCTACTGCATGAGCAATCTCCTGCTTGATCTGGACAAAGGCTTGCTGCTGCTCAGGGCCCCAGTGGAAATCGTTCTTCTTACCGGTAACCTGGTAAAGAGGGCTCACGATCTTACGGTACTCAGGAATGTGCATTCTCCAAAAGCCTATGGCACCTAAGAAAGCTTGTGTTGACTTTGCTTTTCTTGATGGCAAAACCAGCTTCCAGGAGAATCTGGATGATTTTCTCTCCTTTCTCGAACATTTCTGCTGCTGTGTTCCCCCACACAGTGATATCATCAATATACTGCAGATGTTCTGGAGCCTCACCCTTTTCTAGTGCAGCCTGGATCAGTCCATGACAGATGGTGGGACTGTGTTTCTACCCCTGGGGCAGTTGGTTCCAGGTGTACTGCACTCCCCTCCAGGTGAAAGCAAACTGAGGCCTGCACTCTGCTGCCAGAGGAAGGAAGAAAAATGCATTGGTGGTGTCAATGGTGGCGTACCACTTGGCTGCCTTGGACTCCAGCTCGTACTGCAGTTCCAGCATGTCTGGCACAGCGGCGCTCAGCAGTGGAGTCACTTCATTCCATGCACGATAGTCCACAGTCAATCTCCATTCTCCTTCAGATTTGCGCACAGGTCAGATGGGGCTGTTGAAGGGTGAGTGGGTTTTGCTGACCACCCCTTGGCTCTCCAGCTCACGAATCATCTTATGAATGGGAACCACAGCATCTCGAGTTGTTCTGTACTGCGGTGCACTGTTGAAGCGGCAATTGGTACTTGTTGCTCTTTCCCCTTAAGAAGTCCTACTGTAGATGGGTTCGACAGTCCAGGCGAAGTGTTCAATTGCTTGATGCCCTCTGTCTCCACAGCAGCTATTCCAAAAGCCCACCTGAGTCCCTTTGGGTCTTTCGGAGGAAGTCTATGCCCAAAATGTGTGGGGCCTCTGGGCCAGTCACAATAGGGTGTTTTTTCCATCCATTTCCAGTTAGGCTCACCTCAGCTTCCACCAAAGTAAAATCCTGAGATCCCCCTGTCACACCAGTGATGGAAACAGATTCTGCCCCCACATACCTCGATGGAATTAAATGTGCATTGCAAACCAGTGTCAACCAAGGCCTCATATTTTCGTGGTTCTGATGTGCCAGGCCAACGAAGCCACACAGTCCAAAAAACATGGTTTTCCCCAACCTCTACCCGGCTAGAGGCAGGGCCCCTCTAAGCCTGGTTATCCTTTTTTCCCTGGGCATATGTCTTGGAGGTTCCTTCAAGGGGATTGGACATATCATCATCATCATCATACCTGGCAGTTTGGCTACAGGCAACTGGAGTTGCTTCCCTTTTGGTGGAACTCCCTCTCTGAGTCTTGCCTTCCTTCAATTCATGCACCCGTTGTGCCAGAGCAGCAGTAGATTTTCTATCCCATGTCCTCATGTTTTCCCCGCAATCAAGCAGGAAGAACCACAGCTCAGCTCATGGGGTGTACCTTCTCTCCCCATTGGGGGAACGTCTGTGTTGGGTACCAGAACCTCTGATCTGTACAGCTGAGATTTGGAGAAGATCCTCTTTAATCTCCTCCCTGAGTTTCTCATGATTCTCCTGTATATTGTCTTCTAATTTCTGCAGATGTGTTTCCACTGCTGCTATCCTGGCATGTGTTGGGCCATGCACAGCATCTGCATATGCTCAGAGCTTCTTCGCCGTATCGAGCACGATTTCCTCTCTTTCCTCTCACTTCATTATTGCTAAAGCAGAAGCGTATTCATGTGGCCCAAGCCGTACAAGTTTTCACCACACCACAGATGTACATAGTACCAAGTCTGGATTCTTAGTTGTTAGGTCATCTGAGAAGACAATCTCTGCCACTGCCATTTCTCTCAAGCGTTGAATCCCTTATTCTATGGTCTTCCACTGGGTTTGCTGCATATAGAGATCATCTGCACATAGCTATCTTTGTGCCACACTTCCCAGGACCCGTTCCCAGAGACTCTGAGGATTAGCCTCCCTCATCATTCCTTGGTCAATAACGGGATCATATGTGACAGGGATCCCAAATGCCTCGCTTCAGTTCCATCCAGAATTGTAGCCTCGCCTGCAGCGTCCCAAAGACAGACCAACCAACTAATTGTAGATTCATCAGGTCATCGGGTGTAATCTTTTCTTAGGCCACGAAGGTCTTTCAGGGATAAGGACTCAATTGCCCTTTCAGGGGAAAGGACTTCAGATCTTGTGTCAGTTGCTGTGATTTCTGATTTTTTATAAGGAGCTTGCTTTGAGGGTCCTTCCCCTGGATCATCATCATCCACTGGCCAATCAGTTTTGCTGGTGTGCTTTCTTCCCACAGCAACTGCCAGTGGCTTAGGCTCACTGTCTGGTTTTGTGGCTGGCTTAGGTTCACTGTCTGGTTTAACTACAACTGGAGTAGCTGGGGTGTTGGCTGCAGCCTGAGTGACTGGGGTAGCTGCTGATTTATCTCCCTGGCCCCCTGCCTCTCTCTGCTGCCAGCTTACTGCAATGTTCTTTTTCTCCTTAGAGTCATCATGGCACCTCTCTTTCAGGTATTTCCCCACCTCAGCTGGGTTCTGAATTTGGTCACACGGAAAGTCCCAGACTACAGGGTCAGAAAATTCCTTCAGGATTTGGCCCATATCCTCCCATTCTCCACGCCGCTCAGGCTTTTCCACGCCCAGGTCTACTCCTGGGTCAGGGGTCTCATCAGTCCCTCTAGAAATCTCAGCCCTCATTCTAGAGAAGCTGAAGACTATAGAGGAAGCTTACCAGATTAAATGCCAGGAAGGTGGCCTTTTTAACATTCAGGGGGAGCTTAACATTTTCCAAAGGTGATGCAACAGATTCAAAGGAGAAGGAAATGAAAGGCTGAAAAGCCTCATCCCCTGCTCCTCCTGTAACAAACTGGATGCATACCCATAACCATGAACCATATATACCTTGAACAGACTCCAATACCTTTATAAACTTCCTATAAATCATTACCACCAAACCCAGTACAATAGCTATTCTAATCTGTGCCCCCCTACTGAAGAAACTTCATGTTAGGGACACTACTGGAGCTAGTTCGGGGTAAGAAAATAAACCTAGGGACCATAAAGGTATCACAACCTAAAAAAAGCCTAGGGACCAGAGACACATGAAGACCTCCACCCCTAGAGACATTGTGAATTCAAACAACATGGTTACAAATTGCTTTGTCCCAATACAGAGTCAATTCAACCAAAATGCAATCAGTACCGGTTTTTTCCACTTTCTCAAGCCCAGCATTTGGCTTGAGAAATGTGTATTTGTCCTGGTTTAGGGCAAATTTGGGAGATAACTTCCAAAGGGCCCTCCCCCAGGAAGCAAACCTGAGCGGCCCCTCCCCCAGCTGGTTTGGGAAGAAAATTTCCTCAGAGAGAAGTGCAAAAAACCTGTTTATTCAACAGGCACAGCACTGCCCAGCACAAAAAAACCCGATACTGAATAACAAAACCTCTCAGTGCTCTGAAGAGATGACAAATTCAGAAAGTCTCTCTCCTGTGGGTGGTAGCTCGGCTCAGTCTGTTCTCAGTCCCTCCGGTGCTGGGAAATGCTGCTGCCCAGGCCAGGCCCCGGTGGCCGCAGGTACGAGCTCCTGGTGCTCCCCCGGGTCCCCCAATCCAGAACAGGTTCCAATAATTCCAGGAAAAAAAAGGGAAAAAAACTTCTCTGCTTTAGTTAGTCAGAAACTAAGAAAAAGCAAAGGAGAGCTCTCCGCTGTCCACCACGGTGACACAGTCCAGGAGATGAGACAATGGAATCCCATCTCTGTGTTTTGAAAACAATCTCCTCAGACATCCCACCGCTTCTCCTCCCCCCTCCTTCACTCTCAAATTCAGCCTTAAAGGTACAAAACTTATTTCTGGGCTAAAGAGACAAATGGGGATACAATTCAACATGACAAAGTCACCCCAGAACAAGTGGATTCACATGCTTTTTATTGTTTTGTTTTAAGATCGTGTCTTTCACTCAAGCGACAACACTCAGCAGTTGTATGATGGTGTAGCTGTTCCAATTATACAGTCAGCTGTGCAAGGCTATAATGGTAAGTTCTAAAACTGCGTTTAAATCCTTTTTGTAATGTATTTCAGAGATAGTTGGTAAAACTTAACCATCTTTTCAGGCACAATTTTTGCTTATGGACAGACTGCTTCAGGGAAGACTTACACAATGATGGGAAATGAAGATTCCATGGGCATTATCCCTAAGGCAATTCAACATGTGTTCAAAATTATTTGTGAGGTGAGCAATTCTATTAAATTGAAGTGACTGAAAGGACTGGTAATATTTGTGATGGTTACATAAAAGTTAATTTTAATATCGAGAGGCTTATGAAGGAAATGAATTTATATTGGACTATCTGTCGCAGTTGCTTTGCTAGCCTGGCAAAGATGAGTATTTCAGACAAAAAGCTAATGGGGCTATATTAGTTGAAATCAAATCAGAACAAAACTGAAGAGGATTCTTAACCGTCTAAATATGTTAAACTGATTACAAATAAAAATAGGTATTCACTCGTTAATGTGGTAGTTAGATAATGTGAAGCTTTGTGTTTATTCTGCTATTTTAAAAGTCTAAAAAGTTAACAAAAAAGACTTTTTTTTTTAGTGGGAAGAATATGATACTGTATTTACTTACTTTGCTTGCAAAAGAATTGCTAATTGCTCAATATTAATAAAAGTAAGGAGAAAGTGTACATTAAAACATGATTTGCAGAGTCTTTGCTTCTGCCTTGAGGGTTTCAGGTAATTATTGCCAGTGAAGTGAAATGGTGACTGCTTCATTAAGGAAGTGCAGAGTATCCTTAGAGGGTTTATAGAAGTAACTAGGCAAGTAACAAAGGCAAGAAAATTTTCCTTGAATCCACTGCGCAGCCTTAACTCACCCCAACATTCTCTACCAAGGAGGCGGGGGAAGAAGCAGCAGCCACAAACTTAATCCGAGCAAGCAGAGAGAAGACAAGGCATACAAAGAGGAAAGAGCCTAAGCAGAAGGAAATTGGTTATGGAAATGGCATTTCAGTAGAACAACTATTGTCTTACTTCTGTAGGGCAGTTATCTTAATTTTATAACCTCTTAGAAGTGGTATACCATTAATGCAGCTGGAAAGAGGCAGGATAGAAGAAAAATTATTCTGTGTTGGTAGATGCTAATGTACAGAAAGGATGAAGAGAAAGAAATCTGTGGAACAATATCCAAACCTTTATCTCCAATTAAAGAATACTTGCATTAAAAGATGTCCATCAGTTAGTCTGTTTTTTGTTTGGCTTTTTTTTCTTTCTTTTCAACATTAGATTCCAGATAGAGAATTCCTGCTAAGGGTTTCTTACATGGAAATCTACAATGAAACAATTACCGATTTGCTTTGCGATAATAGGAAAAAGAAGCCTCTGGGAATTCGTGAGGATGTTAATGTAAGTGGATGTTATGTTTAAGTATTGCATCTGCTTCGAGTAAAAGATGTTGGGAAAAAAACGCCTTCAGAAGCCTCCAGTGAACAACTTTTCTGGGACAAACTGTGTAATTCTATCTTCAGCATTAGCAAAAGGACACTTGATGTAATAGAATAATTTTGGCTTGCTATTTCTAGTTCATATTTATAAATCTTTATAAAAGTAGACTTAACCCTCAAGATTTCCAGGGTGGTATATTTTATTTAACTTTGTTAGTAAAGACTCAAGAATTGTTTAACTAACAATGCTTCTACAAACATGACCTTAAACTTCATGTGTTACCAGTTTCTGACAGATATAGAGTTGCTTTTATATCATCTTCATATCATTTACCAAGTAGATACACTTTCCTGCTACTGTGATCATAGAATAATCATGAAACTAGAACTATTCAGTAAGATGATCACTATAGAAAAATAAATCTGTATTGACACCATCTTCAGTTTCTTTATATTAAGTATTGTCGGAAATAATAAAAATTGTTGGTTGGGATTTTCGGGTGTTTTTTTCCTTTGGTTGCCTTAAATGATTATGAGTTTGGAACATAGGAAGAAGGGAAATTTACCATTTGTATGACTGTCCTTATAAGAGTTACTGAGAAATATACTCTTAAATTCCCTGAGAAAAATGTCAAGAAGGATATTTCACTCAGCAGTTCTGTTTTCAGGAAACTTTCTAAATCTGTTGTTTGATTCTTGTGCCCTTAGGCCACAATTTTGGTCAAAGTCTAAACTTAGCCCATCCCTTGTGTTTGGAGTAAAAAGACATTCAGCTGCTGAATAAATACCATAATAATTGCTGGTAATGTTAACTTTATGTATTGAAGTGTGTTTTTGGACTTCGGTAAAATTTATTATGGTGTTAATTCTATAGAGGAATACATATGTAGAAGATCTGATTGAAGAAGTGGTGGTTTCCCCAGAACAAGTTATGGAATGGATCAGAAAAGGAGAAAGTAAGTATTTAGATGATGTCAGCTGATAGCTTATAAAAGTGTTGGTTAATCAGGTATATTTAGAACCACAGGGTATCCCTTTGGGTTTATGAATATTTTCATAAGCCAGAGTTTTTCAGAAAGTTTTAAAGTTGTGCTGTTTGTCTGTTTATCTCCAGTTTGTCAGATTATAAGCAGAAGTATTTTAATATTGTTTTTTGACAGGAAATCGCCATTATGGAGAAACAAAAATGAATGAACACAGCAGCCGTTCTCACACTATCTTCAGAATGGTAAAAACGGTTTTACTACTGCGAGTGGTTTCATTGTTTTCAAAGTAACAAAAACATCATTGCACTTCATTGCATTTCTAGATCATTGAAAGCAGAGAACGAAGTGACCCTGCCAATACAAACTGTGATGGAGCAGTCATGGTTTCCCACTTGGTAAATGTCTATTTATTACGTTCTTGGAGTACAGGCTAACTAGAGAATTTATGTTACTGCTTGTTTGAGACACTAATGGTCCTTCATAATGACGTACAAGAATTCTTTGTTGTTAACTTTGACAGATGTTTCTTAAGTATAGAGGGAGACTCCTGTGGCATTATCTAGAGAAGATGTTCCCATCAGAGGGGATTCTACATGAGAATTATTCATGCTGGATTGGGGAGTGTTATGACTTTCTAGGAGCATAAGGGACTATGTCAGAGTGCTCTTGCATTTTGCTAAATATATCTTCCCTACAGTTGTTGCTGACCACTGACAAGTCCAGTGAAATAACTTGTAAAATGGGTAACCTTAAGACTTCCCTTGTCCTCAAATGTAGTTGTTATTAAAATAATGTATGGCCTACATCTGCAATGCCCAAAAGATTAATTTTTTTTTCAGCAGTAACCCCACTTAGCATCTCTTTGTGGGATTACTGATACATGGAGTACCATAAACTGGGGGGAATACCACTGGACCTCTCTAGGGAAATGTTAGGATTTCAGAAGCCTTTTCTACAGCCTTTTATTGATTCGCAGAAAATTATCTGAAACAACTGCAGGAGTGGAACTAATGTGAAACTATTTGAGCCTGCCAAAATCTGATGAGCCCTCTTACTCAGAATTGGAAATAGCATTAAGTTAGTCACATGCATTGTGGAAAGAGCTTTCTGTTCTGGCTTCACATGAAAAAGCTCTGGGGTCTGAATGTAAACACTTCTCATGCAGTATCTCAACAAACTAATTACCTACATTTTGTGCTTACCATAACTTACAGTATCCACTCTTCCTACGTCACCCCCTCTGCCCCATCTCGGTTCCAATTGACTTCAGAGTAACCACGAGTAACAAGGGTGAGGGGAGAGGAATTTTGGCCCTCTTGGTCTGTTGGTGCTTGGTGGAGTTAGTGCAGGATTTTGCTCTTCTGAAGCAAAAATCAGCTAAAGTGAGGGCTACTTGCTCAGGCAAATCATTATAGGATGCCATAATGTTCTAGTTGGCTTTGAACCAGGTTCAGAGTGAGGCTTTTCCTCTGGTAGTTCATTTCGTTTCCTTATCGCTACAGTAACAGGCGAGGAGAGACATACAGACAGCTTAGGAGAGGACGCTAGATAATCTCACCTAGGCTTTTACCCATGAAGGATGCCTACAGCTGGAATTAGTAATTAACACTTCTGTACTGAGAAACTGTGTTTATCTTTTTGTGAGGGTAGAGGTTGTTGACTGCAAGTTTGAAACAGTGTTTGGGATGGAGTAGTAGAGTTCATACAAACTTGCTCCATGTCCTTGTGTAAGTATGAAAGTATTGGTTGTGTGTAGTAGCTATGTATTAATTCCAGTAATGGCAGACCCCTTGCTTTTTTTTTGAAGCTTAACTTTAGTTTATTTAATTCTTAGCAGAGACTTAGAATTATGAGGACTTAAAGTAAATTGCCTCAGAACTAACCTGTGAAATATTTAATGAATTTGCAGAACTTGGTAGATCTGGCAGGCAGTGAAAGAGCTAGTCAAACAGGATCTGAAGGTGAGTGTTAAATGAGGCTCCACTGAAAACAACTTCTGTTAATTAACCCTTATGAGAAACTGTGATAGAAGGGAAATTATTTGATCCATGTGTTATTGTGTTATTTATTGTTTATAAATAAGGCCTTTTCCCTGGGTAGGACAATATCTACTCAGGAAAATACTGTAAATGCTGTGAAGTGCAAACAATTAAGTAGTAGTATGCCTTTTCTAGAATTGCAGGCCCATCAACAGACCTGCACTGAACTAATAGAATGGAGATGACTCAGTGAAGATGCTCCTGTAATAACAAAATCACAAGAAGCTTTTTAGGGGCTTGTGTGTAAAGGTGAAGAGTGAGTAGATGGCTCACTCTTTAGTTCAGAGGAAGCTTGTCTGTTAATGGTGGCAGCATGAAGCTGCACGAAAGTGCCTTGATCAGAAAAAAGTGATCTGAGAGGGACACAAGTAATAGTCTCTCTTACAAAGAATGACTAACCTAAAGCTTGTATCTAAGACTGGTTTGTTATATGTGTAAATATGGGCATTTACAAAATTTAAACAGGAAGCAAAATTGTAGTTCTTATGGCCCCAAATGCTTATGATGTAAAGGTTCTAAATGTTTATTTTTGATTACTGTTCTATTTTAATGCATTTTGGCTATCATAAAGGATTGAGTACTGCCTGCTGATGGGTCAATACTGCATTGTGGCATTTAAGGTTTAACTCTTGGACAATCAATCCCTCTGAGCATAATATAGGACAAAAGCTTGACAGGTTGAAAATGTATCTTAATATTGTTTTAAATTTAAAATAATAGTAAAATGTGTGGTACCTAGGTGTTCGACTGAAAGAAGGCTGCAATATAAATCGGAGCTTGTTCATTCTGAGTCAAGTTATCAAAAAGCTTTGTGATGACCCTTCTGGGTAAGCAACTGTTTGTATACCTGTTATAAGGCACTGCTAAATTAAGAAATTTATTATTATTATTATTATTATTATTATTATTATTATTATTATTATTATTATTATTATTAATTATTATCTTATGTAGGTAACTGTTTCAAATAACCTATTACCTCTAGAAAATATATTTACCGTGTTTATGCTGAAATCTGAAATCCTTTTTTGTTGTTGCCTCTTTTTTATTAGCTTCATAAATTACAGAGACAGCAAGCTGACTCGAATTCTGCAGAACTCCCTTGGAGGAAATGCTAAGACAGTTATTATTTGTACAATTACTCCTGTTTCTTTTGATGAGACACTCAGCACTCTTCAGGTAAAGTTTCTCACCTCTTCTCCAGCACTAGTTATTGCAGACAGGTTTGAGGGGTGCAAAATGTAATCTGCTGGATCTTTAATGACTTGGCTCTTCTGAGGGGCTTCTATAAACTCAGAACTTGGAATAATTTTTTGTACACAGCATCTTTTCCCAGTTATCTTGTGTTAAGTTGTCTACCTAGAGCTTTTTGGAAGTTGCAACAAAGCTCCTTCTCTCACTTTGTAGGCATGAGATAACCACTCTTACCTTATTTGTCTTTTCCAAACATAGAGAAGTCTTTGCTAGCACAGGATGTTAGGCACTATAGGAATTGAAATATTAATGAACAGTATACATTCTTTAGGTAGGATTGTCTCCCTTTTCAATGATCTTTCAAGCTTTTTATTAAATAAAAAATAACTTGGGACACACTTATATGTTATGCTTCATGTTTTAGGTATTAATATCAAGCAAGCAAAGGAAAACTTCACCTTTTCAAAGCATAGTATACATTAAAAATAAGCTAATTCAAATATTTGTGTCATATTACATGCTGCTCTTTATCTAATAAAGATAGACAAATCTTTAATTCTCCCTCTAATTCTGTCGGGAAATATGGGACAAAATAAGTTTTTTTAGATATTTGTTCTTCAACTATTGCCCATGAAAGACTGTTCTTCCAGTTTGCTAATACAGCCAAAGGAATGAAGAATACACCAAAAGTCAATGAGGTACTTGATGATGATGCTCTCCTGAAGAGATACCGCAAAGAAATTCTGGATTTGAAAAAGCAGCTGGAGGAAGTATGTAATAAACTCAAATAAATCAATTCTTAGTACTGATAGCTATTTGGAAACCACCTGTTTTAAACTAAAAGCAGTTAAATTTGAAGGGTAGGTGAACTCTTTAAAGTGATATCTGCCATTTTTATTGAGAGAATAGAAATTGGTTATGAATAGTCTAGAACAACTGAAGATAGTCAGTATCTCTGTGTGCAAGCTGAGGCTGAATGAGATCAACTGACAGAATTGTTAACTGGTTACACCTAATCAGTAGGTTAACATAATTAAGAAACAGAAGTTTGTGATGCCTTATAGCATACTTTTAATTGATCAAAAGAAACAATTCATATAATTAATTAATCTAAGAAGTGATTGAATGTCTTATTATTTCCTCCCTTACTGATGTCTAACTTCCGTTTGAGTTGCAGGAAGTTGTAACTGCCTGAATATCACTGGCAAAACTTAGGTCATATATACATGGAAGTTGCATTTGGAAAAGGAACAGTAGTAACTTCTTGCCCAACAGTGTAGTCTGATGTTTCTCCATCTCTAAAAATCTGTGAGGCTGAGGAACAATCTTGCAAGTCTTACTGGAACACAGACGATAAAACATAAAGCACAGGAAAATAACAATGCTGAACTAGTGCATTAAATCAAAGAATGCGCATTTTTAATTGCAAATTATAAATATCCTTAGAGAAAATTTTTAGAAAAATTATTTCTTATTTTTAATGATAATGAATTTGCAACATGAACTTTGGGAGTATGTTTCCTATCTTCTATGGTAGCAGGTAGTGAGGTATCGTTGAAATAATGCCTTTTTTTTTTTAACCTGAAAAATCTGAGGCTACATTGTTTCTGGGAGTTTTGGCTACTTTTAAATACTTAGTCTGCAGTCAAATTGTAGACTGAATTGTCAGTTTCATTATTAAGGATTAAAGTTTTCTCTTTCAGACTTAAGAGGGTATATGGGTAGTTGTTTTTAAGTATCAGTAATTGTGTATCTTCTATAGGAGTGGTTTATGCTCTTAAAATGTCAGTTTGATTAATATTCTCTTTATGGAAGGTGTCTTCAAAAACTCAGATTCATGCAATGGAAAAGGACCAATTGGCCCAGCTCTTGGAAGAAAAAAATTCCCTTCAAAAAGTACAGGAGGACAGAATACGAAACTTAACTGAGATGCTGGTGACTTCTGCTTCCTTTTCCTCAAAACAGAATGTTAAAGTAAGCACCTGATCCAGATCTTACCTGATAACTCTGAAATACTTTACAAGAGGTAACATTAAATACATAGGTTTATATTGATAATGGCAACTAAGTATGATGGGCAATTTTCACTTTTTTCATGTTTTTAAAGGGCAACTTTTAAATTAACTTCTGACTGTCAATTCAATGTTGCCTTGTGGTGAACAGACTGCAGGGATTTTTTTCCTTTCCAACTAAATTTTGAGGAAACTGCAAAATACTAGTTAACTGCTGATACAGGTACTGATACAGAACTAGCCTGAGACAACATTTACTCTCTACCTAATGGTTTGGTTTTATCACTTTTTCTCTAAATACTCTTTTAAAGGCCAAGAGAAGAAGAAGAGTTACTTGGGCTCCAGGTAAAATAAACCAGGCAAATGTGAGCTTTTTTGAAGACTTTGAAAATGCAATGCCAACTGAAACAAAAAAAATGAAGTTGTCTCTTCCAGCAGTACCAGATGTGGAGGATTGTAAGTAACCAGATGGTCTTTGAGGCCCTTTCCAACCCAGATCATTCTAAGGTCTGTTTCATTTTCTGTGAAATTCCCAATAAATATCTTTGCAAGCATTGCATTACATTTCCCAAAGGGAATAAGTTGATCCTTTGATAGCACAAATTATAAAACAGATTAACAAGAGTACGACTGCTCTTGTACACACTTTAATGAAAAGTGTGTACACTTCTACTACCCCAACTTCTCTGGATATTGAGCTTTTAATTCTTAAAACCAAAGGAGAGGACTGTCACGCAAATGGCAGGGTCTACGAACATTTGCCATGCAGCCTACCCACACCACCTAGTTTTTTGGAAAAGTGTTCTTTAACACAGACTATCCATTTCAACCCATGTTCTCTTCCCAAAAATGGAGAGGTGTGTGTGTAAAATCCGCAAATCCTCAACAAGAATAGGAGGTCATTACTCAAGTATCAGATTGAGACAGAGAAATTCAAGGATTCATAAGAGGAGTGAACTGAAAATTGAAAAAGAAATTTTCTAAGGCAATTGAGCTGAAGACAAGAGGAAAAGTTAGCAGTATTGTTACTGAATTGTATCTTACATCCTTATTACTTCTCCTGTCAAATGTATTTGCTTGTATGTGGTTTGTTCTGGACTGTTTTTTCCTGTATGGGGGCTGGGTGCTTTTTTTCCTTAGATCTTGCAGGTTGCTGTTGAGTGGCTCTTTCCTTGATACTCAAACTTTTCCTAGTCTGTAGTTAAGTCGATATTCTGGATTTGGTGGGTTTTTTTTACTTCATTAACTTGTGATAAGATAGTCAACATAGGTATAGGGACTGGACTTCAGTGGTGTTCCCTTTCATAACAGAACACCATGAGAGTCAGAACTCTGACTCAGTGTGCTGTCTTTTTGCCACTAAATGATTGTTTCCAACATGGTAAAATTATTTTAAGAGAAAATTCTTGATGTTTAGTTTAAAATCTACTGGTGTTTTTGTTAATATACCTTTCTTTTCAGCTACCTTAGAGAATTCTGAGTATGAAAGCACTTGCCTGCTGGCTCCTGATCAAATTTCAGAAGCAGAATGGATTGCTGGTCCTAACATGAATTGGGTAACGTCATAATCTGTTTTCACTTTCTCTAACTGTACATATGCATAACATGCTTCTCAGTAAGATCAGCCTTACTCTTCTGTAGAACACCAGTATTCTGTGTCTGCAGAATTACTGAAACTGGTTAGAAAGTCTCTTGGACATCTCTGTGAAGGTGTGGTGCTTCTATAGGTTTGTGGCAAATGATCCAGTCAGCTTTGGTCTTTAAACAGGACTAGGTGTGAAAAGACAAGCAACAAGTAATAGAATACTCAACTTGCTTGATCTCGTAGATCTGCTAACTGAGAGTGTTTCTTTTTCTAGACTCAGAAAGACTTTGAAGAATCTGTGCAACTCTGTGAAGCATTAGCTCTAGAAAAGGTAGGTCTGTTCTGAATTTTCTAGAAATAAGGCTGACATTGCAGCAACAGCTTCTAAAATTTCTTGTGCTGCTTCTTCAGGATATCGCTGTAAATGAGGTCAACGTCCTGCAAGCTAACTTCAATAACCTAGTTCTGGAAAATGAGCAGCTGAAATCAGAAATAAATGAAATGAAAGAGAAACTGAAGGAAAAAACAGAAATAGATGAATTTGAAGCACTGGAAAAGCAAACACAAAAAGATCATGAGGTAAGGTGCATTTAAGTAGAGAGATATGAATTCTCTATGCTCGAATGCTTTCTAGAGTTTATTCAGTGTACAAAGCCTTGGATGTTGATTCAGAAATAGATGGTGTTGTAAGCTGTATTCAGCAACAGAATGAATGAACCCAGGATTTAAACTGGATTTACTTGGAGTGTAGAACTCAGACAAATTTTCGGAGAGTTGCATACTGAAGCCTGGCGAAACATGTATTAATGTGTATATATGTATCTATGTGTTATTTTTATAGAAATGTGATCTGAATTTCATTCTAGACTTCTGTGAGGCAGTTGTTTTGCTGCTTAAATACATTTTAGAACTGTTTTGAAGTTAAAGTTTGCTAAACCGTATTTTCTGTTTTCTTGTGTGAAACGTCTTACATTCGAAGACAAATAGTTAATGCTCATTTTGGTAATCTACATGAGCATTAACTTTTAACGTATTATCTAACTTAGTCATGAAATTATTTTTAAATAATAGTAAGACTAGTAATAGTAAAGTCAAACCATTGTATTTTGTGCCAGGAAGTCACAAAAAATGTGAAGTTATCTACTGGATAATTTAGAATATAGGAAATTATGACTTTCAGTTCTCTTCACCTCTTTGTGTAGTTACTGGAGATGTTCCTTGTTTGTCCAAATGTTTATGCTCTGATTCTGTAGTCTAAAATACTTACTACTTGTATTAAGTTCTACCTGCCTAAAGTCTGGACTGTGAAATAAGTTATGGCAAAAAAAAAAAACCAAAACACAGTAACTTGAGGTATTGACATGGATGTATTATTGCATTTCTTTCCCAATACCTTTGCTGGACATTACTTGTGCACATTAGTCTGTGTAATATCTTCTGTTCATGACACTAATGTTGAAGTTTGTTACATCCTCTTGCATTTCTATTTCAGGGTGCAATTTAACAGTGTCACTACTTATTTGCATTGCGTTCTCTACAATGATTTATGGATCTTAAAGAAAATGGCTCCATAAAATATTACCATTTAGCTTGTATTTCAGATTCTTTTTAGAAGACCCTTTCTATGCTAGACTGAATATGCTATCTTCCTTACCTAATATTTAACAAATCCTAAGTTACACTGTTCTCTGCAAAGTTTTTGAGTATCTAATAACAGATATAATGTCTAAAGTAGGTTCCATTGCAAGAATTGTTTTTTGAGTTATTTATTTTCACATATCTTAAGGCAGTCCATAAAATGTAAGCATTTATTGATACCTATGTAGTAGACTAATTATAGCAATACTGAAAGGTCACATACTTCACCAAATACGTTAGATGAAATATATCACTTTATACAGGTAAACTGCATAGGAATGCTCACAGGAGAGTGCTTTTTCAAAGCTTAAAGCTGATCTTAAATTTGCAGATTGCATTTTCTTTCATTTGCTTGTGACTATACAAAAGTACTTGTAGATGAGTGCTTATCGTGAAACTTTTCTAAAAAAGACCAAATGAAAGAAATTGAAAAAGCTCCTATCTGATCTTCTACTTGTGAATTCTTTCAGAGAATGCCACTGAATGTGTTCGTGGCGTTTTACTTCCATTTTGGCTTCTCATTCCTGTTAGTGACTAGATTAAACCATAAATATCTGCATGTGTCATAAAAAGCTGCTTAATATGACTACAATTTGAAGTGTCGTAGCTCTACAATTTCTGCATTAATTGCTTTGATCATGTTGCTCTTGCTTGTCGAACTATTGCAGATTAAATTGCACTTGAATTCTTTCTAATTACTGGGAAGCTAAAATAGAGCTTTGCATCTCACGTATCCATTTTGAAAGAATATGTAGCATCTTGCTTTGTAGCTGTTTAAGTAAATGTGTGAGTATATACTAATAAAAAAGAAAACACAAGATAGACCTGACTTGTTTTCATGGTGTTGGCAACTAAAGCTACTGGTGTGGGTGCTTTCTAACATCCTCTGCAATTTTGCTTTAATTTGCTCCACAGATTCAACTAATGCATGAAATTGCCAACTTAAAGAATCTAGTTTCAAATGCTGAAGTGTACAATGAGGAACTTGAGGTGAGCCTCTCCATGAATTTACAGGTAGTAAGACTTGTATGAATGTGCTTGGTTTGTTTAGCTTGAAATACCATATCTGCTGAGGACAAGATAGACATCGTTGTGCTTGGGTTAATCTTACGAGCTATGAGGAGGATATGTCTAAAAACCATAAATGCTTTCTGTGTAGGTTTTGATAAATTCTGACCTGAAAAGCCAAACTGAGCACTAGAATCTTCTTTCCTCCTTTTTTTTTTCTCCAACTCTTAGGCAGAAATAAATTCCAAACTGGAACAACTGAAAGAGAAAGAGAACAAAATAAAAATATTGCAGAATCGTGTGGAAGAATTACAAAAAGCAGGAGTGGGGAAAAAGGAGACATCTTTTTCAATGGTAAACTTGAGTTTTCCACTGGGTTGAGAGATTACTTTGTTTTTTCTGCGTTGGATTAAATTTAGGTATAGCCTTGGTATGATGAACATCTGCTTCCTTACATACAGATCTTGGGAGATTTTGTTTTATGAAGCTTAAAATGTTAATTACTACGTATCATACAGCAGTACTCTGGGGAAGTCGAGCTATGAGAAATGCTGCTGTTTATCCCATCTCTCAAACAACCTGCTACTCTTCCTCTTAAAGTAAAGTTACTACGTTTTCTAAGCCTGTATTTACATTTTGAACACATTTCCTTTATTATGGCTCTATAGGTTTGTGCTTCTTTGAGTGTTATCTTTTTCAGGGAGATTCTGATAAACTAATTGAAGAAATTCAGCAGCTGAATAAATCCCTCTTAGACAGTGAAGCCATAGCTTTGGATGCCAAAAAGGAATCTGCTTTTCTCAGAAGTGAAAATTTGGAGTTGAAGGAGAAGATGGCAAGTACTTGTTGAACTGCATTTATAGCTGTACCAAATGCTGTTAAGGGCCTGTCTGTTTCCAGACTTGTGAAGAAGACCATCAGTGTGGTGGAGCACTCATCATTAGCTTTCTCCAAATACTCTAAGTAATACTTCTATTATAAAAAGAAAGTAAAGGCTTTTTCCATAGGAATGGGTGATTAGTTTTAGATTTACCAGGAGAGAGAGTGAGCAAAGCAGCAGTCTTAAGGGTATTATTAAGACATACTACTTCAGACTTAATTTTACCAGAAAACAAAAGAGAATAAGAGATGCGGATTCAGAAGTGGGATGGAGCTTACTTTGAGCTTTGAAAGAGTAAAGACAAAATAGTAGCAGCAGTTATGGCCTTGACCTCTAAGGCATGTTTTGTTAGAGGACTCTGACAGGAATGCATTTGTTAAGTTGTGCATTATTCTGCCATATTTATCAAGGTCAAAGCTGGTCAGACTGATAACAGAAAATGTACCAGATGCATTATTTAAATGTTAAGTACATAGACTTTTATTCTGTGTGTGACTTGCATGTTGTATTGTTTTCCTGAAGAACGACATCTTAAACAACCACAGCCAAATGCAAAAGGATGTTCAATTATATCAAAGCCAAATAGAAGCGGGAAAAGCCAGTTACAGAAAAATGCAAGCTGACTTGCAGAGAGAGCTGCAATCTTTATTTCAAGAAAACACAAGACTAACTTCACTGATGGAGGGTAAAGTTCCAAAAGGTACTGTTCCAGGTGCTGCCTTTTCCCTGCTCCCTCTCTCCTCCCTGTTCCCTGTAGTGGTGGGAGGATAGGCAAGGCTTTGGCTCATCTTCCTTAATACATGGAGACTGTCAGTATAAAGCAACCAGAGTATCAGGTAGTGCTGGTATAGAGTAACTACTTGAGCACTTGCTTGAACATTCTGGAAAACTGCAGCTTACAGAATATTTTGCATTTTGTACAGTCAAGTTAATGAAGATTGTTGGAGAGAATCTAAAATAAACTGGATATCAACCTAAGTAGTTCTGACAGAATTCGAACCAGGAGCTTAGTCTTTTAATTGTTGGCAACAGTAAAATATAGTTTTCTGGAATTGCAACAGTATGACATCCAGATTGCATTATAAATCTTCTGCTTAATTTAAAACATTTTTTTTTCTCTTGCACCCACTTATTAGTCTAAACTTAATTTTCTAGATTTGCTTTCTCATGTGGAACTGGAAAAAATGGCAGCTGACTTAAAAGGAAAACTAGAAAATGCTTTGAAAGAGAATGCGCTTCTACAAAAACAAGTAAATGAGTTATCAGAATTTCAATCTCTACCAAATACTGTTGAGATGCAAAAGAAAGAGGTAAAAAAAAATCTAACCTTTTTTCTTGGTTTTGTATTGTACTTCACTGGTAATGTACTAATGGAGGCCTATTGGACATGAAGTTTTAAAGCCAAAGATTGTTGTGAGTCAACCTGAGATTTTACAGTTAAGTTTGTTAAATTATTGCTTCTCAGATATTAAATATTTGTACCTAGGAGTAAGTTTATGTTTAGTTTTAATATGTTTCGTCACTGACTACTATAATTAATCATGATTTTCTAGTCCAACATTTGCATGTCAATTTGCTATGGTCACCGCTGACAACTGAATGTATCGATATAATGGTGTTTGATCCTGGACACTATTCTAAAACTGATTTTTTTTTTTTTTGTCTGAGCAAAGAGAAAATATCAAGATTTTTTTTTTAAGATGTTTTAGAATAATTTCTGCTTGAGAAGTGAGATTTACCTTGCAAATTGTGGAAAGCTTGTTAGGAAACTTTTTTTTTTATTTCCTGGCAGGTAAGGTAGACTAAGTATGCTGTGAATTTTTAAAGGATTTGTTTGCAAACACTTTCTAGCTTTCTTTGTTCTAATAACCACTTGCTACTGAGTATGTGCAGTGAAAATTATTCAGGGCAAGTAATCTATGAACTCATTAATGCTTTGCAAAAAGTTCCAAATCCTCCAAGGGTCTACTTCCACTAATCAGCAAAATGTAATTAGATGTTAACAACTTCATCTCTGCATTGATACCTTAAGTTTTTAGCTTTTATATTTTTAAGCTTCTGTACTGCGTTAATGTATAACTCTGAACTCTGTATAAAATGCTGGTTAGCTTTCTTCACATTTTGGTCGAGCTAAACAATCCTTCTGGGCCTGGGAACCAAGGTCACACCATTTGCCTCAGGCCCTGGAAAGTATAAACAACAGTGAATTGGGGAGGGGAGAGAAGCAAACCAAGGGAATGTGACTTCATTACCTGAAGCTATAATTGGACAATTAACCTCTGATATTGAAATAGACTGAACTTGTGACTATTGTCCATCTTGGGTGTAGCCTCTGCCAGGCTTTTGCACTGCCCAAGGTGTATGCTTTGAAGGCCTTTAATAAATACTCACTTTATTCTTTAACTCTGTCTAGCCTCTGTTCTAGGTAGCCAGTCCAAGGCATCAGTATAATGAAGAAAGTATTGATACATGTAGATATCCAGTTTAAGAGTCCAGTCTTAGCCCAAATATAGGAAATAGGACGTACTGAACAATATCTAAAGAGCTAGAAGAGAGATTTCAGGACTTAGGAAGGGACTTGACTGTCTTCCTTATCTTTTAAAGATTCTTTGCTAGACAGTTCCCTCCCAACAGAGCAAAACCCAATGTATTGTGCTGTATGTTTGTCTGTACTTTATTTCCTATATCTTCACATGTACCTGTTTTTTGTTACGTGGTTCTGACAAATACTGATTTAGAAAGCACTATATATTAATATTGTTTTTCTGTTGGTAGATTCTTGAAAAATGTGAGGAGTTACGCTTATTAAAACTGGAAAATGAAAAGCTGCTTTCTGACGTAGCTGATAATGAAATGAGACTTAAACATATGTCTGAAGAAATTGAAAAATCAAAGGACAATCTCACAGATGCACAATTGAAATATGTGAAGTCTGATGAGGAATATGTAGCACTTAAACAGCTCCATGAAGAAATAGAACAAAAATACATGGCTGCATCAGAAACCAATGAACAAATGAAGCTCCAAATAGAATGCCTCTCTAAAGAAGCTCAAGAGTCTAAAACAATTTTGGATGAAGTGAAATTAGAGGTCAGTGTCAGCTTGCTCCTTCTTATATATGAGATTTGAGGAATTAATTCATAGTGCTAGAAAAATAGTTTTTGGAGAAATACTCCTAAAGGTATAAATGATAATTATCACTGACTTCCTCTGGCATTAGTGGGTACTACTTATTCTGTGCCAGGAGTATATTGAAGGATTTGTCAGCTCAGAGGCCTCTTAGGTGGGCAAAGAAATATATGTTGCTCCAGATTCTTCTGTAATCGACCTTTTAATTCTTGTTTTCCTATTCTTATGTATTATCTTTATTATATACGGTTTTTTTTTCTAACTCACCTACTCTATATAAAATCATAAAAACAAAATTTCCTCATTGGGAACTGGAGATCTTTTAGAACATGACTTTGTTCAGGCCAGAGAGAATCACCACGGAAATAGGCCATTAGAATGGAAAAATAAATACAAAAATTGTAAAAGAAAAGGAAGTTAAACGTACATATTTTTGACCAAGCTTTGGGAACTGCTCTGGCTGTCATATTTCAGCTATGGTTTTGATAATTCCTAAGCTATGGTATACGATTTCATGTGTATATTTTAGTGCTATGTTTTAGTAAAATTTTTGCTGCTAAGGAGCCATCACAGGAAGATTCCATAATCAAATAGTTAGTTATTGTGGGCAAGAGTATAAGCAATGACTTAAAGAGAAATTATGAACTTGCTAGCTAGCATCTTTCATCCTTTCTAAGCTCATAAAGGAACACCTACGTATAATGGAGTTCTGCATTACAATGAAAGTGTCTGGCCTTTTCCTTTGCAACCTAAAGCTCTCTAGCAAAATGAAAGAACTGGAAGAAAAAACAGCAGAGCAAAAACAACTTCTTGAGCTAAGAGAAAATCTTATTCGAACTCAGCGGAAGTTAAACGAAATGGAACAATTGAAAGAGGAAGAAAGGATTAGTGAAGTGAGATGGGAGGCTGAAGATTTGGAGATCCAGGCAGTCTTGCAGCAGCTTACAGAATGTCGGGAGGAAATAAAAACTCTAACTCAGGAAAGAGATGACCTGAAGCAAAAAGGGGAGTCTCTCCAAGCTGAGACAGAGCAACTCAGAGAGGATATAAAGGACACTGTCTCAATGGTAGGAATTTTGCATTTTTAGAAACAGATCATACATGTTAGGAGAAATTTTAATATAGTTTATTTAGGAGAATATAGGAGTGGGAGTTTGTGTGGTTGTTTTTAATCAAGGAATGCTTACTAATATTACAAAATATATGCATTTTCTTTGTGGTTTTTCTTTCTTGTATTTAAAGAACATCTTGGCGCATGAAGATCTGAGAAATACACAGAATTCTCTGAAGGAATCCCAGAGCACTGTCAAGAAGTTGAAAGAAAGTATTTCTGAAAAAGAATCTCAGATTCTGAGTGTTGAAGAGGCACTAGGGAAAACCATTAAAGAACTCCAAATACGGGTAAAACTTCGTGCAATAATTAAAACAAGCCCAGTTAATCTGGTTGTAGTCTCTTCTGGTGTCCTTAAAAACTTTCTAGGCTCTTAGTAGCAACAGAGCGAGAAAACAGTATTGCCTAATTCAAGTCTTTACCAGCTGCTGCTGTTTCTGTAGAGCTTCAGGGTGAAATGTACAGTCTAAGAAACCTTTTCTTAATTTGTGTGCACCATAGTTGTGGATTTGAGTGGTGGCATTGGATGGGAATTGGAAGACAAGATGAGGGTTACTTAAGTGTAGAAATGAGGCTGATATATATTTAAAATATAAATAAGTTCATGATTTATAACAGTCCCAATGAGAAATGTACTACATGATTGTCAATGGCAGCTCAGAAACCCTGCCAAAAGGTAATCCCAGATCAGATACCGCAGAAGGCTGTTATAAATACTGTAGGACAGTGAGTCAAACAAAATTTAGCATTTAATTTTAAATTAAATTTAGTATTTTAATTTTAAAATGCTGTCTCTGCTTATTTTTTAATAGATCTCAGAAATGACCGAAGAAATTAAAATGATCACATCAGAGAGAGATCAGCTTGCTGAGGAGAAATCAGA